GAGATAGCTGGGCATTTACTGCAAGAGATACAGTAAATAAGGTTTCTGGAGGTACAAGAGGTCGCCTGGATGATCCAGAATTGTCCTGAGGGGCCTTGAATGAGTGTGGTGTTAAATATGTGCTTGCAGGTGATACAGCGAGCTTTGTTGCAGGGGAAAGTGCCTGGTGTGGATGATTGCTGAGGGCGGTCAAGGGAGCTGTGGACAAGAAGGTTTCGCAGATTAGGTAGTCGGCAATATGAGAAGATAAGGCAGTCAGGAAGGGGCGATCATTCAATATCTGCTAAGATGTTGAGTCACTATGACAGTAGTGCACAAACAGTACAGTCCACTTAAATGATATCCAAATGTTATTGCTATTTAAATGATCCATTCACTGCATTAAACAAATACAAAACAAAATTAAAATACATTACAGGCTTTCAAAGCACCATGTCAGAAGATTAAGACAGTCAAAACATAATTCCTTATTTGACTGATTTGATCACTGCCTCAAAAATGTTATTTCTTTATGAAACAGGGTTCAGTGTGCAGAGCATGTTACAGAAGTGACATTAGCCTTGGAACCTCGACACCATAATATTCTGCCATGGAAGAGGCCCCAGTCTTTTTGCGTGATGGTTAGCTAATGTCTAAGAAGTGGCACTGTGTGAAGCAAGTGATCGTGATCAAATTCATGAAGGGGCAAAACTGAGCTGCAGTCAATACACGTTACAATACACGTTAACTGGAGTTTTGGTGACTTTCATTGTAATTTAAATGTCATTGTTCTCTACAAAATCTGTTATGTGATCTGGGACCAGGACACTTTCATTAAGTCTGACCTTTCCTGAATTGCTCTAGAATTTCCAGCATATTTTTGTAAACAACTTCAAATGTGATACTGCACTTTATTAAAATAATACAAAGATAAGAATGGCATAAATCACTTTGAATGTTTCAGTATGACGACAAAGGTATCAGAGCTTTCTTTTGACCTCTAACTTATTCCACAGCACTAATATTTGAATGTAAAACTTCTTAAAGGGAATCGTTTCAGGATCTTTCATTCATGTTAGCAATGATTAAATCTAGCCCTTTCAGATATTAAGTACTGTATGAGAAGGTACAACAAAGTACTACAGGATGCCTTTGGGACAAAACTGGATGTTGACTGCCGCAGAATTTGTGCTTACAAACATTTCTTATTATCAAGCAAGAGAATAGAATACAATTTTGTTTGGACATTATTGAATTAATTGATTGGAAGTGTATCATAAAAAGTGCTCTTTACTTTT